ATAACGAACACGGATAAGCGCTAAAAAAAAAAAAAAAAAAACTTGTTTGCCGGATTGCGAACACCGAGAGAAAAAAATGTTGCGCCTCACGTAACGAATAATCTTGCCTAACGGTAATCGTTATACACTATACGGAAATCGTCGCGAACCCTCGAAGCCGTTATAAAATCGATCGTCTGTTGCAATTTCGCTCATTAAAAGTTTCATTACTTGTTGCGATTTCGGTACAACTATAATAGGTATTAGCTCTCGGTAATTATTCAGACTCAATAGAGAGTTGAAGTGAAATATTGACTCATCAGCTCCGCTAAATGATCCAATCGTCACCAGATTTCTCTCTGGGATTTGAAGAATACATATAGTAAATCGATTATTGATTTTGGGTAGTAGACATCTTTGGCTCTCGTTTTTTCTCTCTTAGATGGTAGGTCTTATTTTTTCATTAGTTTTTATATATTATTGTGTATTTCTTATAATTATTATTTGATTCATACTTTTACCAATCCTGTATTTATTATTATTATTATACTTTTATAACTAAAGGAATAATAAATTCTCATTTATAAATGAATAAATAAAAGAAATAAATAAATTTGAAATAATATCAGCGAGGATGGAGAGTCGGACGATAATAAATGTTTTGTGTTATAAAAACAATATTTAAAATATTGTCAATGTACAATATATCTTTTACTAAAGCTTAAATTAACGAGATAATAATGTAAGATTTTCGAGAAATTTTAAAAATAACTTTTGCGGAGGGCGATTATTTTCTTAAAGTTATACTTTTGATGCAAACAATATTAAAACTGTTAATTTATTTTTTGTCATACTAGTGAATCGGTAAAAAAATGTCTAGACAGTTTCAATATTCTCTCCTAAGTTTCTTTCTAGAGCATATATGTATATAGAGTGATAAAGGAGTATACTTTATAAAGACTCAAGAACCGGACTAACGAGAGTATCGATTAACATCACAGTGTTAATTCTAGAAGCAGCTCTCGTGACTTCCACGCGGACAATTTACAATGTGACGAACAACTTGTACAACGACGAAAGAGCGAAGGGTCGTCATTAGGGCATAATTTGTGAAGGCGAAGCTCGAAGATGTCGGCCGGAGCGGCATGAGACAGACACGCGCTTAAGGATGAATTTATCGTCAAATTACTGCTCGTTAATAATCATGACCGATAGCTGAGTAGCGAATTTGCAGATATAATTTCGCGGCGCAATTATTATTTAACGAGCTGTTTCAATGCTAAATTTTCCGCGTGTCTCTCTCGCGCGTATATTTAACTCTCAGTGCGTATTTAATCATTGGACGAACCGATTCTGTTGACTGTGCACGCTCGATCGACAGATTTATTATACGCGATAAAATTCATTATTAGCGATCCGCGAAACGCAAGCCATGCTTTTATATTTTATATTCAGAATATTAATGATTTAATGCACCGTGCGCCGACGATGTCGCTATTTTGATTTTCTTGCTGATAAGACTGATATTTAATAAGGAAAGCTTGTCATATACCGGCAATTTTAATTAACTTAGAAAACTTTCAAATAAATCAATGTAAAATCTTTAGATAAAAATTTCTAGAAGATGAAACTGTTTGATTATGAAAAGAGAAGAGAGAGACTCTTTTTTCTCTATTAATAAACTATACATAGATTATTAAAAACGTGTATTCGCTCGTCTATTGATTAAAACAAAATTTAGTATATAAAAAGGCCAACTAATCGAGCATTATTAGATGATATAAACTAAGTATTTATTCTATATAAGATAATACAGTACAAACGTTTCGACCGCACGCGGTCTTCTTTAGTGTAGGAATTATATAGAATATCTTATATAGAATAAATACTTAGTGTATATCATCTAATAATGCTCGATTAGTTGGCCTTTTTATATACTAAATTTTGTTTTATACACAGATTGTTTTTTTCAGTTATGTAATAATAAAAGCATATTATATTGTGTTGTAAATTTTGTTTTATACACAGATTGTTTTTTCAATTATGTAATAATAAAAGCATATTATTGTGTTGTACATATCTGTTACTCTTATAAAAATAGAAAAATCCTTTTCGCTTTAAATTGTCAAAATTGATTTGATATCGGAATCGATATCGCTAGTCGGGTGACTTGAGTAGCGATATCGAAGCTCTATAATAAACGATCATACTTAATTACGATTGGCGGTAACAAGATTCTATCCCGATATGCCTTTAATTAATATCGAATGCTGTAGATGACGTATCTGCGACGATCGTGTGAATCAAAAGAGTCAAAATACCTTTATCAGTTCCCCCTCTCCTTATATAAACGATATATTTTCTATTTATCTTTTATGGAATAACATAACATTTCTACATGTTGTATAACGCGAACACACAACACAATAACCGTATTTTGATTAATCCTTCATAAATATCCATGCTTATTAAGTACTTCAATAAAATATTATCAATATATCTCTAGACTCTAGATAATGAAATTATCTATTTATATAAATAATATAATTAAAATAATTAAACAAAGTATAAATTGACTTAAAAATATAAATTAAAAAAATAAAAGAAATTCTCTCTTTCTCTCTTGTGTTTTTCTAAATAAATATATAATTAATTGTGAGAAAAAATATGGTAAATATGTAGAAAATATTTTTGTTACTCATCTCAAATTATTTGTTTTGAATGTAATAAATAATGATTTTATATGAATTTTTATAACTTTTCTCGACTTTTTTGAATTGGCTTATCAGATAAAGCGTTCAGTAAAGAGCGCGTGAATTTCTTAAAATTACTCAAGCGATACCTCTCCTGGGAAATCTTTGGATGTTCTAACAGACGAGCAACACCTGGCGACAGGTGTTAAGGGTACAGATATTCGTGCTGTCCGGTACTAAATGTCCAAAAGACTTCTGATAATGTCGCACAAATGTGTTTAAAAATATTTGTTATGTACCTTCTACATGTTGTATAACGCGAACATATACAACACAATAACCGTATTTTGATTAATCCTTTATAAATATCCATGCTTATTAAGTACTTCAACAAAATATTATCAATATATCTCTAGATCTCTAATAAAATTATCTATATAAATAATATAATGCAAATAATTAAACAAAGTATAGATTGAATTAAAAATATAAATTAAAAAAATAAAAGAAATACTCTCTCTCTTGTGTGTTTTTCTAAACAAATATATAACCAATAAAAATAATAAATAATTAATTGTGAGAAAAAATATTATCTGGAAAATAATATTGTTGAAATAATTGTTCTTAATTGTTAGATAATTGCAGTATAGACGAATATAATAAATGTTTTCAAAAACAAAATTCAACTTTGGATACATATGGATTTAATATTTTATACTGCAGCGGATTATACGCGTGTATCCAGTTTTCTTTCTCTTTAGGTATATAATATAATAATTACATCTACAATATTTTTCCGATGCTTAACTTTTATAGATTGACAAGACACATAAATTTTTAGTGGCCATTACAACCTTATCTGACGCCTTGGTTAATATCTAGCAGGAGATGAAGGGTATTAAGAGAATATTATACGTAATTTATATGACAGCCGTGTTACCACACAAGCGTAAGTCACGTCTGCCCTACGATATTATATACTATGCTAACAATAATTTAATGTTTCGATAACAGGAAAAATCAAGTATCGATCAAGATATAGTCCGTATATATGTAATTTTAATACATCAGAATATATTACCACATATATCAGGCTTAACTCTTCTATACTCGCGACTCATTTCGCGATGTAACTTCATGAGGATTAAAAATTCAAATGCTTGTTGCAAGACGATAATTTGTGATTTAATTAAAAGATGTGCGATAGCGCTTCGCATACCATGTAGTAAATAAAGTCACGTGCGCGTCTAATATATAATTAAACTATAATTTTTAGTTTTTATATTAATTTCAAGTCATCATTTGCGTATGTCAATTTTGTGATCCTCGCATTATTTTCATGCCGACAAATTCGATTCGGCGGATCTCGCGACATAGTTAATTCACAAAACACGCGTAAAACCTGCGACATTGAACGTCCGTTGGGTTTTTAACCTCTGCCACAATTTCCGGCTATTTCTCTCACCCTTCGCGGTTTCCCTTCTGACCTTCTTACGAAAGGCCTCATCCTGTTCGAAATAATTTCCGCTTCTTTCAATTGTTGTCTATCATGCCGGCTTGAAATCTAATTTTTAGATGTATTTCCTAGCAGAAACTACAACGGTATTTCTTTGTAGGTATTTCTTGTAGGAGAAAAGGGAAAGCTACACCAAAAGTTAGTTTCGAGTTTTCTTTACTTCTTTGTAATGCAACTTTCTTTTCGTATTCTAAGATGTATTGCTACAAAATTTGTTAAAAAAGAATTTTGGCTTTCAGTGATGTGTGGAAGGAGAGGAGACTTAGTTTGAATTAATATCATAATGAATATCTTATTATTAAAATATTAACTTTAGATACACATACAATATAGTTCTATTACTATCATTAAAAATAATGCGTAAAATTCTCTCAAACTCAATATTTTAATATGAACATTATAAAAATCTATACATATTATTACTATTATTATTTTATTATTATTCAACGTTTAATCTTATAAAAATATTATTTTTAAGGAATTTCTTTGTGTCTGAGTGATCGTTAATTTGCTGTCTTATCTTTGATTCTGTTCTAGGAGATTTTTGTTATTATCTTCCTTCAGAGTTGGCTTCCTTCAACATCCTTTTTGTTTCCCTCTGGCTCTATTTCTTCCAAGATATAGAACTGTCTCCCTCATTCGCGATCAAAACGACCACTTTAACGGTTCTTGATGTTGCATAATTTTAACGGTACTTCAATGTATAGTCAGTAGTCTCAGTAATTAGAGCATTTTTTATTAAAAATATTATTAATAATACACATTAATAATGTTATATGTCATATGCAATTATTGATATTATCAAGTTTTAATTTTTTTTTTTTATTAGCTGCTCTATTCGTAAAGCTCGCGGTATTAATTGCATGTAGCTTCTTTTAATTATTTTTTGAAATGCTAAAAATTGTTAAATTGCTATAACAATTTCCTCCCTCTTTAGAAGCAAATAATAAAACGTATCCTTTTCATTTTTGCTCTTCGTAACTATTTCTTAAATTCTAGTTATTTATAAAATATTTCGACGATGAACTCAAAACAACCATTGTCATTTCCGCAGCTAACATTTTTTTCATCTCTTCTTCACTTCTTCCATTCCGTTGAATTTTTCATTTTTTTAAGTGCATCTATTGTTGTCAGATACATTTTACAAATATCTCAAAAATTGAAACTTCCCTCTTGTTTCAAATCTTGATCATTTTCTCAAACTTTTGATGTCTTCGTCGGCACATCGTCATTGATGTTCCCAGTCTCTTGATTTTCCTTGATTAATTCAGCAAGGATTTGTCGTTCCTCGGTCGTGAGAAGCGCTCTGTTCACAAAGTTGGCGATATTAGTCGCGTGTGTCGTCAACAAGCGTTTTCTTTCCTCTCTCGTGCGTTCCGCCTCAGCTAGTTCCAACCTTCGTTGCTCTTTAGCGATTTCCTCAATCTTAGCAATCTCCTCCTCGCGAATCCTGCGGCGGTGCGCAATCAAATTCTCCAGATCCTTTCGGTACTGAAGTTTCATCCTTCTTTTCGCCTCCGCCGTGAATCTCGCCAGTTTCTCGTCTTCCATAATCTTCCTCATGACTTGTTCGGCCCACGCTTTATCCTCTTCCACGAAACGTTGCTTACATTGCTCGGTAAAGACTATCTGTTCCCGTAAAGTAGCCGCAAGTTCTTGCCGCATCCTTCTCCTGCGCATCGTCTCCTCCATTTCCTTGATTATGAGCTCACACCTAATCTCCTCAGCTACGAGATCAATCAGCCGTTCCTCCCTCTCTCGTTTTCGAGCCTGAGCGTCCAGCATTATCCTCGTCGTTTCCAACAGGACACGCTCGCGCCTCTCTATCTGCTCCTGCCTGAGTCTGTTCACCTCCTTCGATCTCTCCTCGATCTCCTGCAGATACTCAGAGTCTTCCCGTTGCTTCTTCTCTTCCGCCTCGCGCTCCTCTCGCCGATGAATCCTCTTCATTTCTTCGAGAACAAGTCTCTCCTGCCTCGTCCTCTCCACGAGCTCGCATTTCTTCTCCAATGCTTTCGAGAGTTCCCGTTCCTCCTGCGTCCGATCCACTTCTTCGAGATACTTCCTGTACTCGCGAGCCTCTTCCATGAGAACCCTTTTATCTTCCTCCTTTCGCGTCAGCTGCTCGTCCAGCTGCTGTCTGTATTTCTCGCATTTCCGGGGATCTCCGATTGACGCCGGCGATCCTCCTCCAACATCTCCCGCTCTCGTTCGCGTGCCAATTCGGCACTCTCGCGTTCCTGCACGAGTTCCAAGTGTCTGTGGGCCTGTCTCTCCTCGAGCTGAGCCTGCAGTCCCTTCACCATGTAGGCACGCCGCAATTCCGCCGCCAACTCCGCGACCGCGTCGTGCGACTCGCGATTGCGGCAACCGCGGCGAAACCTCGCTACGTACAAAGCGCTTTCGTTACTCGAAGCTTCCATAATCGCTATATTTATATATCTCTTGTCTCGGGGTATATTGAGACATCCGCCTGCGTCTGACAGTGGGACTAGATGTCAGCAGATCGGTTAGGTGTGCTCATAATCTTCCGGTTTCGCCTGTAAGGGTTACGCTAGTTCATATAGTCTTATAAAGAGTAAATCAATTTTCGGAAACAAGAAATATTTAGAAAAAATCTCTTTGACAATTTTTACTTTTTATAATTTATCGAGTAAAAGTGTATAAATTTTCCAATTCAATATTAAACACATTCTACATTATATGTATAAATTGGCTTTGTTACAGTTTTATGTGTTTTTTATTTTTAATTAATTAATTCATCTTTTTCATGCCCGTAAGTATATTATATACTATAATTTTAAATTGAAATGCGTGTAAAAGAGTAACCGACAAAGAGCTCATCCATTAAACATCGCATTCTTTCTAGGCTCGTTAAAATTATATTATATTTTATATCTTGTTGGTGTGCCTCTTATTCAATTTTTACATGAAAGAATCACGGCAAAGCGCTAATTAATTAATTAACGCATCGCCTGATTCGATATTACGCAATTTTCCGGGAAGCATGTCGTAATGAGAAAGAGGCATTGTACTCTCGAAAAGTTTTCTTCGTGTGATGCGCATATTACGCTACGAATTTGCATTTGTATCTCCCATGACGCGAACCTAAGTATTAATGTTAAATTGAAGGTAGGGTGAGATAGTCTTTATTTGATTGCCTCTTTTCTTTCTCTTCTCTTCCTTCCATTTTTCCCTTGTGGGATTTAAATGCGCTTTGGGAATTTTCGCATGGTGAATTGGGTTAATCTAAATTTAACGAGAGAAGTGGGCCGCAACACCGCTATATTTTCCCCGTTACGGTTCCATTGTTGATAGTAACGAAAACGAAAACTATCGTTAGATCTCGGCTTCGATATACCTGAAGAAGCTTTGAATGCACTTAGACTCATGCTTCGTTAATCAAGCGTGTTTACGGCAATAATCGTGTGTTGTTTATCGTAAGAACTCTATCTTATCGTAAAATGACAAGGTTCAATTTATAAATGGCAAGACGCGAATAAATGCATATAAATACAATTAATTGATTAATCTCAAAGTAATCAATGCTTCTGTTAACGTTCAAGAAATAAGAAACCGAAAGTGAAAAACAAATGTAATTAAGATATGCTAGAACGTTGTACCACTTAATATCATTAGCATAATGTATAAATTAATACGTAAATTATACATATATGATGCATGTTACGAGATGACGGAAGTGTCTAGTATTTTCTTTTTTGTAACAGAACATATGTCAACACATATATGGAGTATGTTATGTGCAAAGAAATCAATTTGGAACGTGACGAAATGATTCACAAATCAGCGTTCGAGTTTCCTCAAAAGATACTAGATTGAATCAGCATTCTGTCCCTCTGACTTTGACATATGCATTTCACAATTACGAGTCTCTTGTTCTGCTTAAAGCAGCTGCCGGTTTCAATATAGAACTAAAATTTATAATTTATAATTTATTATAATTTATTAAAGTACCCACATTTTTTCAAAAGTATATTATTTAAACACCAATACAAATTTTTTTAATAATATTGTCCAAAATAGAGTTCAGAAAGATTTTTCTTATTTTAATAATTTTAATAATATTGTACTGTAGGTAGAAAATAACATAAAATTCTATTCAAAAAAATATGTCGTAATATTATTTTGCAAACATTGATTTATAAATAAAACTATTGAAAGTACCTTATTCATTAAAATTACAAAACGCTCTTATAATAAGAAAAATTAGCCATAATAAAATTGTTTTGGAAAATATTATTTTTTTAAGCTCGAGAGAGAAGACATAATAATTTATAAGATAGGGAATCTTTTCAGAAAAACAAGATTACTTTATATAGTATAATTACAGCGTGTAAAATGAAGTGCGTAATATGCAAAAAGGATTAATAAATATTTCGTTAGTATGAAAAATATATAAAATGCCGGACCTAAGTAATAATATTCTTCGGCAATTCGAGGCTACTTATTTGCTCTAATAGCGCGATTCTTGCTCAACGAACCGTCTTGTTTTATATACGAGCAACGATTATAATTGTTGCCGACCGTTAAAGTGTATGTAGACATTATTAATAGGCGCGGTATCGTGCTTGCTTGATGAATAGGTTCAGCGTAGCATTGCATTATGTATATACGTAAGAAATTTTACGGAATAGACATTACAAGAGCATTTCAACTTCGTAAATCATTTTCAAAGTATGGAGAAAAATTATTGTTACATAGTTTCTTCACATCGAAGGAATCTTTGGCGCGCGTTATGAGAATTTTTATTATAAAAAAAAAAAAAAAAAAGAGAGAGAGAGAAGGGGAAAGAGTTTAATGCTTTATAGCAAATCAGAAATTTGGAGCAATCAATACATTTCAAATCAACGATTGTTTTTCAAATTTTTAACTATTCTGAACTATTATTTCGTTATTTAATATATAGTATTTCATTCACACATAAGTATATGCCATCTCTAGTACACTCTTCAATTTTTTACAAAAAAATAAAATTAAAATATGCAAAACATATCGAGCAGAATCGTCCATTAAACACTATATGTATATTAAAAGAGAAATCTCTTTCTCAATCGATGTTTACCCTGAGTCGTGCTCTTTCAATGAGCCAAGTAAACAGCGATTGACCCTGAACATACGCGTGCGCTGTCGAGGAATTAGCAACCAAAACAGTATAGACGTACCTTCTGTGCGCAGGTCCGGGTATACCGAACTCGAATTGCAGCCACGTGCACCGAGACACTAGTATATATATATATATATATATATATATATATATATATATATATGCAACACCGAGAGAAACAGAGAAAGTGAGAGAGAGAAAGAGAAGGAGACTGCACTCGAGAAATAAAAGAATTTTCCGCTCGGCAATTCGCGCCCGATCGATGTATCGTGACGGATGGACGCGGCGACGAGCCCGCGTTATTTCGAAAGGAATTTTTCACGATTTTTTTTTTCTCCCCGGTTGAGTTTTTCAGTCCGAATCGAATCGGACGGAGCCGACTCCGGCTTAATACCGAACGCCGCAACGGATTGAGACCGACTAACCGGCTTTCCGCGTCGGAGCACACGCGAGCCGAAGCTCTCTTGCTATTTGCCGCCGCCGGCCCCTTTAAAACCCCATCTCGCCGTACACATATAATGGGGCCCCCGCGGGAACCGGCCAGGTAAGTCTTCTACGGCCCTGGGAAGTGGATGTGCGAGGAGAGACGTGACGATTAGTGGGAGATGCCACAGATATGTGCGTGAGGAGATATCGTGTATGTATATTCGACTTGATTTCATAATCGCGGCGAAGCTATACGCGAGACATTACTAAATCATTGAATTCGGATATCCAGGATTGATTCGCCTATAATTGGTGAGACACGTGGCCGCGGAATGATTAATTGTCTGTTCATTAAACGTTCCATAGGCGCAGAAGGTTGTAATGAAAGTGCAGCGTCAGGATATATTATTAGGATGTATCTGGCATCTTTAGAATATCTATGACATTTATTTCATGATTTGTTTTTTTAAGATCATTTCTGTTCGATAACTTTATTTGATCTAAATAATATTTCTCTGTAATAATTAATAATAATGTATTTCAATTTATGTATAAAAATTTTTAGAATTTAATTATTTATTTTTTAAGATAATTTCTTTTCAATAACTTCATTTGATCTAAATAATATTTCTCTCTATAATAATACTAATAATGCAGTATTTCTAGAGATTTATATATAAAAAAGATTTCATATCTATCTAATGTTTGGTACATTACTAAAACATCGTATATATTTACAAGAAGCTTAATGATTTCGTAAATAATTACTTCCTTAATTAGTGTTAATCGTTCACGATAATCACCGGAATGTGTCGTATCTAAAAAAATAGCAGCCAATAAAGAGAACATTATAAGTATCGTGCAAAAATGCGCATTTACTTATCTTAATTTACTCTCCGTTCGTGAAACGCGCCGAAAGGGATACAAGAAAGTATCAGGACATAAAAGCGATATGGTCTCATTTTTATAGGTTTCGTTTGATGGTGGTTGTTGACCGTCGTTTTCACACTTTTACGAAAACCTGTTTCTTGAATGACGATTTGAAGGCGAGCAACGCGGAATCTCACGAAAATTCTGACGATACAAGACGTACAAAGTGTTCATATTAGAAATCATTTCAGTTGAAGATGTACCGTTTAACAGTATTATTAAAATGATCTCCTGGCGGCGCAATTATTCTACTAGAAACCGGTCGCTTTAATAGAGTCATAAAGACTCGATATAAGGATAGTGACACTAATCACCGTAATACGCAAGTGCCCTTATTGTCCGGTTACGCCTCCTGAACCGTCGTTCTTATGCGCACGAGCATAAGAACTGCGGACTTTAATCTTGAAAAAGATTATTAAAAAAGGAAGATAGTTAAAACTTCACATAAATCTCTCACTTATCTCGCTCTTATGCAATTTATAATATCTTATTTGAAAAGAATATCCACAGCAAATGACAAATGACAACGCGATGTAATAATATATAAAATTACACGGTTTTTTTCATCGAAGAAATATTTGTTATTTGGATTTTAAAAAGAATCGAATATATATGAAAAAAATATAATTTTTAATAATTAAATTATTAAAATAAAGAATAATTAAAACTTCACACAAATCTCTCACTTATCTCGCTCTTATACAATCTATAATATCTTGTTTGAAAAGAATATCCACGGCAAATGACAAATGACAGCGCGATGTAATAATATATAAAATTACACGGTTTTTTTCATCGAAGAAATATTTGTTATTTGGGTTTTGAAAAGCGTCGAATATTATATGGAGAAAAATATAATTTTTAATAATTAAATTATTAAAAAAAAGGATAGTTAAAATTTCACATAAATCTCTCACTTATCTCGCTCTTATGCAATTTATAATATCTTGTTTGAAAAGAATATCCACAGCAAATGACAGCGCGATGTAATAAATATAAAATTACATAGTTTCTTTCATTAAAAAAATATTTGTTATTTGAGTTCTAAAAAAAAGGTTAAAACTTCACATAAATCTCTCACTTATCTCATTTTTATGCAATCAAATATACTTGTTTGAAAAGAATGTTCATAGCAAATGACAGCGCGATGTAATAAATACAAAATTACACAGTTTCTTTCATCAAAGAAATATTTGTTATTTGAGTTTTAAAAAGCGTGAAATATTGCGGATAAAAATATAATTTAAAAATATAATGTTGGATTTGATTGAGGTTCTATTTCAAAGTCATCATGTTGTCTCTCGGTTGACTTTTTATGCATGCTCGCTGCGACTGTCAGCTAAAATGTTAAATATGACTAAAGTAAGTCGTTACGCCGGCTATTTGAGGGGACTCGTGATTAAAGTATGGATACGTAAATGCCCTCGAGGGGGATCAATTTGCGCTCTCCTCTCGTTCCGCACGAGAAAGCAAGAAATAGAAGAGGTGGGCGAGGAAAACGAGGAAGCGCGATGGGGATAAGCCGGACGATGACGATGAGAAATATCTAAATTAACGTGAAGGAGAAGCGTGGCACATGTGAGATTAAGGCTGGCTCGTCCGACATGACCGTTTTGCCCGTACATGATACATCGCTGTTTTATACGAAATAAATGACTTGACAGGATGCACGGATAGAGCGCTCATGTACGCGATATTTTCGCAAATCTCGTCTCCGCGAGATGAGGATTTATAAAATGTCAAAAAATATGTGTACACACGTGGCAGCGATATACACGTGTATTTGAGAAACCTTGAATTTAAACAACTTTGCTGTGTTAAAAGTTACGTTAAGTATACTGTGCTATACGACAGGATAAATCATTAAAATATGCAAAGAAAGAAATGGAACTTTATTCTCAAACTTGAAACTCGATTCTAACTTTGTCAAGAAAATTAGATCTCTATATAAAAGAAATCAAGAATTGATTTTTGTTATATCTCATACATAAATAATTTTTTCCCATGTACAATACATTTTACGGTTTAAAATTAGAATTTCATTTTTAATAACGGAAGAAACGCATTTTTGGGTGATGACTTTAATTTTCCGACCGTAATAAATCTTATTTTAAATATTGCAACCATGAAATAAAATTGTGACTTCGTATACTTTGCATAATTAATACGCATGTTTGGTGCGAGCGAAAATTACAGCAATTAAATTATCGAACCGTAAGTTAGAGGAAATTTCAGCCTTAATAAAATTAGAGTTAGATGGGTTGAAGGGCTTGCGTTATTGGAAAGTGCTTCCAGCCTTGTCACGAAATATCCATATCTATATCATTTCTATGTAAAATGAGATCAGAATAAATAATTCAAGCTTTGTTCTTATTTACCTCCTTTTTTGTAGAAAATTATATATTAATTACAAAATAAATAATATTACATTAACCAGTCTTTTGACTTTTAAATTTCTTATATACACTAAATATTTATTCAAATAGTATAAATTTTACAAAGTACACTTGTCAAAATAAAAATGACAAAATTGGGGTACAGAATTTATCATAATTTAATTCTACATATTTATGATATTCTACTTCGTCTTATTTCCACGGCTGTCAGAAAATTAGTAATTTTCCTCGTTTATTCAGTACCGTTTTCAATGGGTTCTTGCAACGTCGAGCACAATATATGTATAAGACGGGAAACTTGTACTATATAACTTCAAGCCAATAACCGAAAGAGCTTTTTAACCCGACCTGAAAGCTTTTTCTTTAGGTTCTGTGTACATTACTTGCTATTTTCTGCGCGATTTTGTCCGATTATATTAAAGCTGGGAGCTTTCAGAAAACATTGATATTGTCTACACACAAAACAACATCAGAGGGAAAGTTATTTTATAAAAGTAACTCATTACCGTTATTTTTACTAAAAATAACTCGTTACCGTTACTGTTATTTAAAAGGTAATGAGTCGTTACAATTTTCGTCACTTTTTTTCTTTTTTATTATATTTAATAACAAACTTATATGTCCCATAGGAAATTACTAAAACTAATCAGCTATCATTTTTTAATGCATGCAATTATTGAGAAAACAAAAGTTGTATTGAAAAGAAAAAACTATGCAATTTTTAATGAATACAAATAAAATGTTTGTATGCCAGTTTATTTTATTGAAAAAAAGTAATGAAAAAAGTGATTTTTATAAAGAAATTCGCGTTTGAATTCCTATCATATTTGATTTGCATTGTCATTAAAAGAAAAAAAAAATAAATTATATAAAATTACTTATAATTAGTCATTTAAAATTTGTGTGTATATATGTATTAAAATAATATCTTATTGAATTTCGTATATTATTTTCGTCACTTTCTATATGTAAAAGAAATTATAAATATACTAAAATACAATATATAAATTGCTAAGTTTTATATCAGTTTTCCTTAATTTTAAATAATAATTAAATTTACTTTCGCTAAGAAGTATTGAAGTAAAAAATTTTGAGATAAAATTTGTATTTAAAATATACGTAGAATAACGCTAATAAAATATTGTGCTATTTATAGACCAACTATAAAACATTATAAGAATAGTGTAACATATAGGTAATTACTCTAATTACGACAATGCCGACGAATAATTATTTCATTGCAACAAACTTAATTATATTTCTTTGCGCCATATTTCGTTTTTATTTTGTGCTTTAATGGCAATTAAAGGTATTCCTTTAAATAGAGACAGTCATAGATGTCGAAAATTGTAAATTTAATGGAGTGCAATTAATCGTGATAAAATAATTAAAATTGATTACTTGACAAATAAATAAATTAGAATATCATCACATTTTTCATTATTATCAAACTTTATTCTGTCGTGAAAAATTTAATGATAGGCAAGTATTATCATGAAATGGCAACCTCTATTGTGCTTTTTATAACTAAAAGGGCTGTCAGTAAAATAAAGTGAAATACGGCATTCTATAATCGCGATGATTCATATACACTGATATATTACCGTTTTAAGTAAATTGTTAAATTTTATAGATATCATATACACACACAAATGCTAATTATATATATGTTAATTATATATAATTGTAATTTATATAACGCAAAAAATCTAACGTATATGACTTAGGGAAATTGGGGATTTTTTTTATATTTAACATATAATTTAAGAAATTATTCCAAGAAATTTCTTTGACGCAAAGAATAGTATATTGGATTTCCAAGCCAAAGAGTACAGGTTCAATTCTGACAAGGAGCACAATGGAACTTTCCTTTACTTCTGAAATCATCGAGTCGGATCAAGCTACCTCTTTATTCTGGAACAGTTTACAAGCTGCTTTCTCGCTCACTATACATTCACCACATGATCATGCATGAAGTTAAAGAGCGAATAAAAGCAACAACGCTTTACATGTGTGCCACTGGAATAACAAGAGAGAAGAGGGGTAGCTCGATCCCGATGATTTTGAAATAGAGAAGTTCTTTAATATTATTTTGTTTTGGACATTGAATGATGTAATCATCACAGCTACATCTCTAATAAATAAAATAAAGTTTTAGCGCTTGCGTTTTCTAAAAAAATAATAGATGTAGAAATGTAAAAATTTAATTAGAAAAACTCATATAGATATATTCCCGTTATATCTCCGTTTTCACAATTCTGTTTTACTTCCGTGTGCTATCCATCGTATCAAGAAAAATGCTATGTTTTTTGAAAAAGTGCCGCGGAACGTATGCTTAAAATAGCATATTAGATAAACAGTTCAGTGAGAATAACGGATTGCAAATTAATTGCAAGGTCTCTAATTCCGCGAAAAATACTCGCTGTAATAGCGATTTCATTAATCATGTACTAGTACAGTTTGAAAAAATAGAATTACTTCAAATTATCATTCTCAATTAATTAAGCCTAATGGAGTTTATTAATTCTACATCATATTCCGACGCAATTAAAAGTCTTTGCACTTTTCGCGATAACTTCGCACGAACATTTTTTTTGCTGATTGTTTAATAAAATAATAATACATTCGGACGCGTAGTAATTTGATAATTCGGCATATTGTGCTTTTCGTAACTAGACAACGTCCCTTTATTATGTTAATGTAAGAAAAAAATAACGATTCATGAACCATAAGTATTCTAATGTGTCGTAACAAGATTATTTGTATTTTTGCATAGATGAATAATGTTATGTTGAGAAGACGTATGTGCATGTAATATTTTAACATAAGACCAAAAAAGAAGACAAACAACACAAAAATGATGGATTTGTAAAATGAGAGAAATTGCGTTAAATATATTATTTCTTTGGTTTTGTCAAATATGAAAAACTACATTTGATTTCGATTCTGTCTTCTTTACATAGCCTGCTATTTTTTATTTTTCTATTTTCTATTTTGTTCTACATGCATTATTTCACTTTACTTATCATTTTAGTTCAGTTAATATTTACTACGTATTTCAATATTCAATATTCAATTACAAAAACAATTTTTTGCGAATAATATGTTTGATAAATGTTTTTTTTTTTTTTCATTTATATTTGTATATGTAAATATATTTTTTACTACTGTGTATACTGTGAAACTTCACAATAAATGGTTTTTTCTTTTTTAAAATTACACTATAAACAAAGAATATATATATGTTAAAATAAAAATGTCTATCTCTCTGTTTCTCTTGTAATTTTAGATAGTATATAAAAAACAACCAATAGAAAATACATTTTAATATAACAGTAAAAGTTTTTTTTAAATATTCAGGTTAAGAATTTTTTGCCGTAAAGATATTCTTTTGAAAATATTTTATATATACTTTTTAATGTAATTTGCATATTTAATCAAACTTAAAATTAACAAAATATTCGAATGTGTACATGAAAAGTATATATTTTGTAAAAAAAATGATATCAAAACACTTATTCTTGATTTTCTACGTCTTTCTCACCAAGCTCAAACTTTATTTCATTATAGTTCGCAACTAATGCATTATGCATTATGCTTGCCAGTGAATCTTCATGCATGTATTCTCTATGACTTGACTATACTCATAACATTCAGATTGTCTAACCTTGATCCAGTTGACCCTACGCGAATATTTATATATGAACAACTATAGCGTTCAAGTCACGAACAGCGACAAGTCATTTTGCCATCAAGAATGCGAATCGGTGTCGCTCTTATTAAGACGACGATGTCCGACAATATGAGAGAGATGTCTATAAGTATTAGTAAAACCAATATTGCTAGATCATAAGTACTTGGAAAATAATAAACTACTCAGCTTCGACCCAGATATACGGATAGTAAAAGTATCAATGGAATAAATTAAATTTGAGTGTGCATATATAATATCAATTTAGTTATCCTTCCATTAAAAAAAAAAACCGTTCACACACACATACAAGGTACGAATTCATCAATAAAGATAAAATTGGATAAAGGTATTTCAAGCTAGATTTTTCACCATTCGTAACGAAGTGTGAAATTTATACTAACGCTTTTTCATTGCAAGCCAATCCAACATAGAAGCGAGTTTTCATTCCGAATCACCTAGGAATTGCAAAAGTGCTGATGCGTTCTGTTTCATTCCAGTTCTTTTTTTACAGATAACGCATTGACGTCAGCAACGGTGACAATTCGACTTTTGTGATATGGGGGACGTGATTATCGAATGTTTTTTTTGATTGCACGGATTTTTTATTGTCGTAAAAATCTAACGCATTAGTTAAATTAATAAACATTGTGATAAAAACTCGAAGCATTGATTTAAACTTTTAATTTGAATTCGTTAGTATTCTTTAGATTTTTTCAAAAAGCATATAAAAAATGAGAAATGAAATACTTTTAAACGTTATTTTTAATCAAATAATTAATTATACAATAAAAAATAAATCCCTTTATAATAAAAGTTATATATTTAAAACTTGTTTACGAAGTTTGAATAAATAAACGAAAAATTAAATCAAAAATGTTTTTGATACAAAAACTTCAATTAACAATATTACAATTATTATTAATTAAAAAAATATAAAATAATTAATCTAAAGTTTTATGGTTTTATTGATATATCCTCTCTCGAAAAAATAAAAAATTGAAAACTCGAATTATTAAACTAAAAATTAAATTAAATATATATATCTATTACATTTATACTACATGTCTATTATATTAAACTGAAAATTTGCTGTTGGAGTTTTGTAACACAATAGCCCTGTAACGCGACTGTTTACATTTTCGATTCGGTACATGTAACGGATGGGTCTGCGAATGCGAAAATTCAAAACTTTTCCCAATACCCTTTTTGTCGGATCCTGACAATATTCGATTAAAGCTACAAAAAGTTTGCGACATAAAAGACAACGGTTAGACAGATGTTCTCTCAATAGTTTTACGGTGAGATTTCATTATACTTGACGCGCAAGCGTCCACCACTATTCATTAGGGACGAGTTTTATGGGTACATTCCCATTTTTAATGTTTATATTTTTTAACAAAAATTTATATCTTTATTTGTTAATTATATAATATATAATAGCTACAAATGTCAAATAAAAAAAATACATGTATATTTTAATTTTTAAAAAATAAACTTTTTGTAAAAAAAATGCAATATATTATAAATCGAAGCACAAAGAGAGAGATTCGTCGTTTTTCATCTATCAAGAGTGACAAGTATGAAAAAGTTGATATCAATGCTCGTGGAAATAAAGAGCCCATCTTGCTACAGGACCTGTGCATGTATGCATCGGCCCTGATCACCACCACCACCACTGCCATCCCCGATAGAGCTACGGGAAGGTAAGCTGTACCGAGGGCGCCTACCGCGCGACAACCCCTCGGCGTTCAGTGGCTGCGCTTCATCCGCACCAGGCGTTACGTGTACGCTTGTATCTCGGAATCTCGTGTACGCGGTGTGCGCTTCGATACAAAAAATAAAAATAAAAAAACGGATGATTCGCGGGTTCTCCGGAAAAATTATCGGGTGAATTATCGATACAGAAATTATTGTGTCCAGTTATATCACGCGTTTGCCGTCTGGTCGCGCGCGCATTGAATCCACGAGAGACTTGATCTTCAAATAATTTCTTGACACCGTCACCTTCGTCGCGTAACGCAGTTAGTGTCGTATTTCATTTTATTGCTAGTGCATTTCATGCATTTAATAAGATTTTTTAAAATAAAATTTTTGCCTCGTGCACCGAGCTGTCTTGTTAGGCATTAAAGCGAGATAGATAGCGCTCTTCATGATGATTTGTATAAATTGTGTCGCGAACAAGTACGTTGAACTTGTGGCTAGGAAAATCTTTAAAATACTGGAGAATGCGGAATTCGACAAGGAATATGATTCATTTAGAAAATATTCACGGATTATTTGTGAGATAAATGACAAGATTTTTCATAGAATGTGCTTTTTTTATATAAGCAATTTTCTTTCTTTCTGTAAAAAAAACTGCTTTTTTTATTAAATATTATATTTATAATAATATTGGTTTTTTTTAATATCATATATGACAAATATGAATGATTATATATACTTTCATTTTTCTTGGAGCAATCAACATTTTTTGCAAATACGTTTTTGCTATTTCAAATATTCATTACTAGAATTAATTGTGTGACGTGTCACATACACAATATTAATATACAGATTGTATGCTATAAAAATTTGATAAAAGTTTTATTATTGGCGATAAAGTTTCATTTGCGATAAAATCTTTAGTTTTTATTTCTAAATTGTACACATTTCCTATAGATATTCTTGTTAAATAATAATAATAATATAAATATTTTAAATAATAATCATGCATTTTTATTTCTAAAATTAAAATAGAAATCTATTCGATGCTGCAATGTTAATCAACATTAACATTAATCAATGGCCAAACAATGTGATGGCTAATCAAATTATAAAGATTGAACTTAGCAAAACATTGACTCTTTTTAGTTTGTAGCATCAGTTCATCATTATAATGTCCCTTACGTCAGGAAGAGCTGAGGTCATATATACTGACCTACCTCTTTGACCTCATTTAGTACGTTGTAGATATAACGTCGCGGTCGTGTCTATATATGATTCAATTTTTTTATTTTCTGTTAAAACTTAAGATTGTCCTGGCAATGATGCGATGGCGTATTTAGAGAAAGACAACTCGCGCCTATTATACATCTTTAATTACTTTTCAAATAGTGTAAATATTTTCCAAGTTAGAGTCTAGACACTACATCTTAATAATTGATTGAAATTTCTTTCGACCAAAAGTGACGGAATTAATAAAAAATACAGTGAACTTTATAATATTATATTGAAAAAACCGTAATATAAAAATAGTCAATCCAGTATGTTAGGTAGCGAGATCTCGCACTAGAGTAATACGTTCTCTAGCTCTTAAACATAAAAACAGCTATAAAACAGCACAACCCCTTAAGGACTATTTCTCTTAGGTCAAGCATGCTTGAGCAGAATCCACACATATTTATTTTCTAATATATATATAATATTATAGAGTTGACTGCAGAAATAGTGAAAATTTCAAATTTTGTTGTAACTAGTCTAAATGCTTTTTGAAATCATTTTTGGCAAAAATCACAGACTTAAAAATCTATATAAATATAGAATGTACAATGCCTGGAAAAATAAAGAAAAAAAGAGGAATCTATTGATTTAATTTCAAAGAGAGGAAGAATAAGATTATAATAATCTTATAATAATATGTGCCTGAAACACGCAATAATTGTCTTAATTTTTAATTTTTTAGATGTATATTTTATACTATAATGAATTGATAAAACTATTATTATTAAATATTTATGACTGGTTTAATTTTAGTAATCCTAGTAATTCTATATTCAAATTAGGAAAATTTATTCGAACCTGTTGTCAAACTTAGGATAATATTTTCTGTTCAATCACCATGATGAGGGCTGATCGCTTATGTATGACAATGACGCATGTACATTGACAATTCAATTTCTGCTTATTTCTTATAAAAATATTGTACCGTTTGTTTTTATTTCTCGCAACTTATCCAGTATAAATAAAAAAACGAGTGTGTGTGATTTTTAGTTCTCGCATCATCGCTTAAAACTTTTCCACCGTAAGAATGGCTGCAAAAATTCTATGAGAGAATATTGTGGAATAGGACGGTGCGAAATCTCCGATAACCGAACGAATCGCTGACCTCTATTCACAGTCGGAAGATATCTAGTGATTGAGTGTGCGAGATATCGAGAAAAACTACGATTGAGCCGTCGGCATTGATCTCGAAACGATTTTCATTCTCTTTCAATCACGCTTTTCTTCTCGTGTATCTTTTACGAAATTTTCATCAGTGACATCAAAGAAACCAGTCTCCATCGGGATATCGTTACTTTGCGGGTGAGTAAATCTTCAAAGAAATCTGCGATTATGTTTCATCTTTTTAACTTTCATACAAATAGCCGATCTCGTTTCAACATAAACGATACTTTGGGGCATTTATTTTAAATAGTTTTCTTAATCATGCTCATGATTACATAAAAATAGATCTCTTAAAAGAGAAATTTATACATATAACTTTATCCTTTATATTAATTTAATGGGTAATATATTTACGCGCGCTATATATTATTATGTTAATAATGTCCATAAAATTTTATGAAAAAGAAAAAAGAAAAGTAAATATCTTATACAGAATGTGATATAAAGCACTGCCTGAAATTAAAAATACTTTCACAAATCATATTTTAAATTTAAATAAATTTGTATATCATTCGCAAAAGTATCCTAATTTTGACATTAGACAAGTTATTTGAAAAATGTTAATATTGAAATTATTGAATACGTATAGTTATTTTTACAATACTATTTATACACTGGAAAAAACGTTTGGTTGAATTTCAAGGAAACAGAAATAATTGATTAAACCGACCAAAATTCCTTTTAATGCAATAAAGAATCTTGTTAGCACAAACAATTGATTTGTTGTGCAAACAAGATTCTCGTTGTATTAAAAAGAATTATGGTCGATTTAACCAATTATTTCTGTTTCGTCGATTTTCGAACAGAATTTTTGTTAATATAACAAAATTTTTTTCCAATGTACAAATTGGAGAAATATATTAAAATATAAAAATTACGTATTATATATATTGGAAATTGGCTGTGTGAAAAAAATGATCTCATCTATCTTTTTATTTTTATGCAACCAACCAAATTGTTTTGTATAGATAATCCATGATAATTAACAAACAAATGAAAAATTTAAATATTCCTGAAGATCTTGGTAAATTCGAAGGTCAGAGAAATCAATCATAAAATGTCCATACGCGATAAGGTCTTGCAAATACGAACATATTCTGACGCTTATATGATATACATTTTCTATGTATAATAACGTTGCCATTTGTCAAAGCGCACACTTAGCACGTGTCTCGGAATAGCTATCGATTGTCATTTACCTAAATTACGCGTTTTTTATGATAGGCCAGATAGAACGATAAGGTCAGACTTTTCAGCTATAGCCGATTATATCGTACTTAAAATGGAATGTCCACTTTTATTTTTGGTCATTGGGTATATTACGTTATATAAGATACATAAAAAATGTTGAACAGAATAAACATCTTTGTATTATGCAAAAATTATTTTTGTTTATTTGACAATACATTTTACACGTATACTTCTATTATGTAACTATATTCTCATAATCTATTATAAGTCATAAGTATAGTCCACATACATCAAAATCAATTTACAAATTAATAATTTGTAATATAATAATAAAATAGAAAAAGAGACTTATTAAGAATAAAAAACTATAAGAATAGAATTAGAAAAAAGAGTCATATGTTGTTTTATTACAAAATTATTTTAAAATTTTAATATATTTTTCCGATAAATTTTGATATTTTATGCATTTTATCTTATTTGTTTCTTATTTCAACTGTCAATTCTTTGTATAACATTCTTTTCTTTTCTACATGTAAATATTTCAACAATATTTTCGATTTAATATATTCTGATTATTGTTATATTATCGTATATATTTTATTTTAATCTTGTTCCTTTAGAGACTACTAAATTTATCACATTTATTCGAAAATTATTGAGCCAGACACGATGTATACATACACTTTGTATATAGTGTTATTATGCATACAGTATATATATTTTTCAAAAAGATATGCGATTTATCTGAGAAATAGAGCCTGCGGATATTGTTTAAGAATTTAATAATCGACATTTTAACTTTGTAAAACGTAAATACACGTTGTGCTTAATAAACAGACGTCCTAAAATAATTCCGCAATCACCGGACGAGCGTTCCGCATCAGCGCGTGATCGATGTTTTCCCGGCAAATATTAATCTATTTACGCTTACATCTCTCGCGCCGCTAAATGTTTTTCTTCATCGCGCTCGCTGCTATGTGAAAGGATAACAGGTTGCGCGATTTTATCGATAGCCTAATTGAAAGCGCACCTCAGGCGCAAACGCACGCTCGGTGCAAGTTGACACTTTCGATTTATTACGTGTCAATTTATATCCGTACTGCTTGCATCTCTCACGGTGGGAGATTGCAGCTTGAACTATTTATAAGGTCAACGTCCGATAGATGAACTGCCATTTATTTAAGCACGTCTCTGCGAAATCGCTGCGGGATAACACAAACCGTATTCGTATACGCTTAATATTTGCGGATCACATCTCGTTGCAAAACTCAATTAGCTTCAAATGAAAAAGATAGACTATCGATATACATATGATCAATATTTTTGGAAAATATAAATCCCACGAATAATTAAACTAATCTAAAGCAATTATTATTACAATCTCTCTCATCGTATAATTTTGACAATAGAGATTTTTCGTAATATTTGGAAACTATGAATAACAAGTGTAATAACAATTATATGCCGTATAATGTACAGTTATAATGCATTAAATATAGTGATATTTTTATAAAAATAATAGAAATGTCAATAAAGTTTTTTCAAATGTCAATCAAAATTAAAATTATTGATGCAATCAAAATAGCGATATCAAGAATATATCAAACGAGATCAAATCAATAACAATTCATATATTAATATTTATACACTTTAAATTTTACTTTATTGGAGAAGTAGATGTATGTTAATTAATTGATGATTAATAATATTATTGTTGATGAACGCGTGGCTTGTGTATGATCATATTGCATATATCATATATCAAATTAATTAAACTATATTTAATTAATCAAACTTATTTTTCTTTTTCGTGGTTTTTATATTTGCATTTTTTTAAAATAATTTTTATAAGTAATTTAATAACGAAACTAATGTGTTGAACTAATTTTCATATAAGAAAAAGTTATATAAATCATTATAAAAAAAGCAATGCAATAAAATTGCAACTTAACTTTATAAAATAAATTAGAGTAAGCGTTTCGCGGTGGTTTCGTTTCACGATAATGCGCTTTAGTGTACTCTCTAGTATCAAGCTGGAATTAATAAGATTATCTCGATCGATTAATAAGAAAGTTGAAAGAGATAAGTAGAAAAAACACAAACTTAATATAAATTCCGTATTTAAATATATATATATATTTAGAATGTTATAGTATTTTTCTAATTAAATTGATAATAACGCAATGACATATCATAATTATATCATCAAAAAGCTAAAGAATAATAATATTGTAAATTATCTCAAAATTAGAGGTATAAATAAATTCAAATGCAAAATTAAAATTTGGCATATACAGTATATAGAAAAATGCAAATATAAAAATCATAAAAAAGAAAAATAAGAAATGTCATTAATTAGATATGACATAATTAATTTAATACAAAAATTTTAATAAAACATACTTTTTAAAATTTAACTTTTAATTTTTCGCAATAATAATTATGTTATATTGTTCAGAGCAATTTTAGATACGCATCTGTGGGTGTAACGCAGTGTTCATCTCTTATGAACTTAAGAATGAGATTAAATTTAATGACAACGAACACACATATTTCACCCACGCATTGCATATTTATGTGATGTTTCTAAATCTGTGCAACACGTGTATATTTACGTATTTGCGATAAGCTTCCTTCCTACCACAATTTGCTTATTGCTTTGATATAGTTCATTAGTTCGAGATTATTCGAATGAAATGAGAGCTTTAGCCATTGGTAGATATGGATTGAACTAATGTGCTTTATTCAATATACTAATATTTTAAAATATGGAATGCACTTCCTTCATGAATTGAAAATACTAAATAACGTAAAATTAATGTTTATATGTTATAAAATGATGCATACGTGTAGCAATCATACAATATGTAAAAAAAGAATTAAATATGAATTTAAAAAAACGGTGACGCACAAGAAAAATTATGAGTGATATGTAGATTGCATCAGTAAATCTTCTTTATTAGAAAATTATTCAATAAATATTTAACTTGAAAAAGCATTTCAGAATGTAAATATTTAAAAATTCAAAATCCCGAAATTAAAAAAGGGACACAACGTCATCATATATTGATTTTCGTGCAAAATGTCATAAAACAGAAATATTATTTCATCACAATATTAATTATATAAATTCCTAATAGAACAGAATATATTATGAAAATCTATAAATAAATACATAAATAAATATTTATGCAAATAGATATCGAAGAGAATGTACATAATGGAAAATAATGTGTTAAAGTACTGTATTGACTTCAAAAATATGATTTTTTAGACTCTGCTATTTTGAGAAAATAATATCTCTGAACGATGACATTCGCGAGTGCGATTCTGTATGCATCTTATTTCACTTTGCTGATTTCTTTAGATATTCTGCGCGTGCGTTGTACCGAAGCCATGCAAAGATTTTGACCTGTTTTGTGAGAATGGAATATCTGAAACGATGCATAGTCTCTCTTATATATTATCCTCGGCATCAAGTCGGAGGAAGTGAAGTTTTCACGAGAAAGTCGTAGTAATCTATATATATACTAAATCTACGTCGTTCTTGTAATCAGGGAAATAGGCGTTTTATTTATTGTTGCTCTAAAAAACGATGGATTTTCGGGTCCGTGCTAAAATGTAGTTCAGATAGATTAATATACGCGTTCTTTTATAAATGGTGTCTGGTCCCAATGGAGATTGTATATACAAATATTTAAATGTTTAAAGTACTGAGACTTTAAGTAAACGTTGAAAATGGAAAACGAATAGTATTCGTATAATATAATTTATTTTGACAGTAAAATATAAAAGATTCAAAGCTTTTTTTAATATTGGCCCTTTGTCTCGCAATCTTAAAACGTATCGAACAGTCAATCGAACTTTCTGATTCCTTATATGTTCGATTGCTATTCTACATACATATCTCAGAGTGTTTTATACTAGCTTTGAAGTATACTATATCG